GTGGTGTGGATGCCTGGGGTTGTTGCGGGGGGGGGGGGGGGTGCCAAGGATTTTCTGGCAAGGTTCAGGATCAGAATCCAGGCGTGAGCCTTTTAAGGAGCTGGGGGGTGTGTGTGCAATCTTCTCTCCCGTTTCCCCCTGCTAGATGGTTGTTTCTTGCTGTGATTTGTTCCCAGTTGGGAATCTGATAGTGCCAACAATAGCTGGAATGGGTGAGGGGAGAGCACCTTGGCTTTGCCCTTTTCAAAAAAGCACAAAATTGTTTTATTTCAGAGAGTTTGTTTGGTTGACGGGGGAGTAACCGTCAAGAAGGTATTGTTGGGAAGGCGTGGTTAGGATAGCTGCAGCGTGGCTTCGTGGACATAGCGTTTGGTTGAGGGCAGTGGCGGGCATTCTCTTGGCTGCCACTCCCTCTCCCCTCCCCTCCCCGTGCTTCCCCTGCCTCTTTTAGGAGGCAGCGACACAAGTCTACAATCCAATAACACCCATCTATGAATTGTTTCTTATTTTAAGTGTTTCATTGCTGAAACTGCTTTTATCACGTCTTCGGACAGCGCTGGCTCTTCGGCTTTGAAACAGAGATGAGCACCGCAACCCTAGAGTCGGACTCGACTGGCTTTTGAGCAAGGGAACCTTTACCTTTACTATTTTATCGCTGTTGTTCATCACTCAGAGCCCTGAGTACTAGAGCGATTCATGAATCAAAATTATAAATAAACTAAGAGTAAGGCCCATTGTGGGAAGAAATACAACGAGATCTAGAAGGAAGCTCCAGATGAGTGTCCCGACTGTGGCTGGTGGGGCGGCAGAGGGAAGCGGAAAATGGAGGGAGGCAAGCCATGTTTCTTTCCTTCTGCTTAGCTATAAGGCAGGGCTGTCTCAAGTCATTTTGCTGCCCCAAGTGGGTAGAATGGGAGGACAGCCTCATGGTAACAGATATGGTTCTCTCCACCTCTGACTTATTTTTTGAGGGGGAGGGGGGTGTTAAGCAGTGGCAGCTAAGGTAGAAAAGCACCTCCTCCTGTGCCATGTTTTCCGGGAAATTCCTGGAGATTTGAGGGATGGAACCTGGAGAGGGTGAGGTTTGAGGAGGGGTGGGACCTCAGACTGGTACAATCTATAGACTCTACCCTCCCAACCAGCCATTCCCTTCTGGGGAACCACTGTTTCCAATCTCAGGAGAGGGGTGGAAATCACTCAGAATTACAACTGATCTCCAGGAGGAAGAGAGGCAAGGCTGAAATCAGAGGGGCAGATAATGGCAGGTTGATGCTTGGCTGGGAAGGGAGATAGAGTTCCCAACTCCAGGTTGGGAAATTCATGGAGATTTGAGCGGTGGAGCCTGGAGAGGGTGAGGTTTGAGGAGGGGTGGGGCCTCAGACAGGTACAGTCCCATAGATTAGACTCCACCCGCCAGACCAGTCATTTCCTCCTGGGTAACAATTGTTGCCAATATCCAGGTGAGGGCTGGAGATCACTCAAAATTACAACTGCTCTTCATGTAGCAGAGATCAGTTCCTCTGGAGAAAATGGTGGACTCTGTGTCATTATACCCTGCTGAGGTTGCTACAGCACATTGATGCTGAGTGCCCAAGGCCTTGGCACTCTCTCAGCCTCTTTCTAGAGCTCGTTGTATTTATTTCCACAACGGACCTTATTCCTAGTAAATAAATAAAACAAAACAGAACATGGGAAGGTTTTTTGCAGCTTTGTTTTGATAATATAAGTTTGGTTGCTCTGTTTCAACCCACATGGCTTTTTAACAGAAGGAAGGAAAGGAGTTAAAACATAAAGACACACAGACATAATGCCAAACAGTGGCCTAAACCAAGCCATCGTAATGATTTTCCTTCCGGCGTCCACCTGGCGTCAGGATTCCTGGCATCAGGAATCGAATTCCAAGCAGTTCTTTGTGGAGAAGGGAATGTATGTGACATCAGGTTTGTACTGGATGACTTATAACCCAGTTTAAGTCTTGCCTCAGCGCTGTAGATGTGAGTAGGAATAACTGATGTGCTTTTTTCCCTCCAGAGAGGCAAGTTTCGTCCTCGCCTGCAGCAGCTGGTGGCCACCAACTCCAGCGAGGCAGTGGAGAGCTGTACTGGGAAGGCCTTCGGGCTCCTCCCGGACGTAGCAGCTGCCATAACTGAGCTCAGCAGGCTGAAGGCCGTGGGGCCAGCTACGGCATCAGGTGAGAAATGCCCTGGACTGTGACAGATGGCTGTGCTGTGGTACAGATGGGAGTGACAAATGGAAGAGCCTAAAGCAAAGAGAGGAGAGAAGTGGCACCTTCCCATAACACCGAGCACTTCTGGGCAGGCGGTGTCTGTTCCGAAGAATCCCGGGAGGCTGCTTCTTCTTTTGATGCAAAGGGGGATTCCAGAGCGGAGTCCCCCACCAGCAGCCTGAAGTGGGAGAGTCCATCCTGCTACCTCATTGGTAGACCCACCTTCACCTGGTCCTTGGCTGGGATTTTTGTGACTGCCCTTTTCAACATCTGCCTGAAGCACGGGGTGCTTATAATTCTTTGCTGCTTTTTGATTTATGATCTCTGCAACTCTCTCATCTTGCGGGGCTCTCTGCATTCAGACAGCTGCTGCTGCTGTTTTCCTATTTGTCTGGTGTCACTGTGATCTCAGTTCTGCTTCCCCTGCCTTTTTTGTCATTTTGTTTTTCTCCACTGCTATCTTCCAACACTGGTAATGTGACAGTCTGGCAGCTGTTTCTAGGAAGCTTCCGATGAAACTTTTGGCAATTATTTTGCTGCCCAACTATTTGTTTAAATTAATTCTCACCAATAGATTTCTTTAGCCTAGACTGTTGTCTAGACTGAAGGGTGCCTAAAGGAATGCAGGAGCTGGCCATCCCGGATTCCAGAAAAGTAATCAGGCCATGATTATTTACCCCTCAAAAAGTGTTTTACAAAAGTCAAGGTCGCTGCCCCAAGGAACATACCATCTACTATGCACCATAAGGGAGGGGAGGGATGTGGAAGCAGTGAAGCAACTGCAAGTACCGCCACCATTCACTGTGTGTGAAGGACGGTGGTGTATAAGAATGCCAGTAAAGACACTTCACTTCGGAAGCAGCCTTTGCCCCACACCTTACTGGCTCTTGGCTGGGCAAAAAATCCAAACCTCTCAGGATCCTGGTTAAATCAGTTCTCAACACCAGTCACTTCAAAGAAAGCTAACTTTATTGAGACATTGATAGATACCATCCTGAACACGAGCTATTGTTAGGACTGAAGTTGAACACGCGAAGGTTACAGATCTAGCGTGTTCAAGTAAAGGCACTGAAGACCAGGATCCTATCACCCCATGGTATTTGCCCACCAGAATTAACAGTCAACTGCCCCCCCCCCAGGCATGTACTTCTCCCAGAGCATCCCTCCTGCCAAAACTGTTGCCTACCCCACCCCAGACATGTAGCCTCTACTCAGTAAGAAAAACAGAATAACAGATATTTGAGAAGCCAGGACATTTGGCCCCACTGAGGTGACAACAAGCCTCTGGCACATCAAACCTCCTCTCTCAATGGGGCAGGCGAGCTGTAAAATGCCTAAGGCGCCTGATAAAACCTCTCTGTTGGTCTTTACTGCAGCAATTTCACCCTGGTAAGAAATAAGCCCAATACCTGACTTGTATTGGCCCTTGTGTTTCAGGTCACTTGCGCTTTGTAACGAGGCTTTCATTAGGCCCTTATATGTTCTTATTGTCTTTGTAATCAATACATGTATTTTTGTGCATAATAAGTTTAGGCTAGGTTTTTAATATTGGCCCGCTTTATCAAGCTTCTTCCTTACCCTCGTGGTTCTTGATTCCATGTCTTGGGTCAAGTTTGTCTTCCCCTCCCTGTGTCTGACTGCAGTTCCACGCTGCCCTGCTCGACCAGAGTTTTCACATCCCACTGGGTGTTTCCCCGTTGGTGCGTATTCCACCTGCTACATGTTGCTTTAATTTTTTTTTTTTTAAGACTGTACGTTTTCAGCAGGGAGGTCCTGCATTTGGTCGTGTAAAGCTGTCTGAACAGCAGCCGTGGCTGCACTTTATAAATAAGACAGGACCTGCTACATGTTGCTTTAATTTTTTTTTAAGGTCGTACGTTTTCAGCAGGGATGTCCTGCATTTAGTCGTGTAAAGCTGTCTGAACAGCAGCAGTGGCTGCACTTTATAAATAAGGCAGAATCCAGAAGCCTTTTTCTTCTGCTTATCAAGTTGGTCTGTTTTCTGTTGCAGCAATTTTGGCTGCAGGAGCTCCGGAGGCTGCAGCAGTTATGACCGACGAGGCAATGGAGTCCATCCCGGGCCTCGGGCCTATTCAGTACACACTCAAGCACTATATGATCTACCTGAGCAAGATCCAAAGCTGCGTTGAGAAGCTCAACAAAAGTAAGTTGGCAGAAACCATGCTCTGGGAAGCATTTATCTGGGAGTGAGCAAGGTGTGGTGCAGAGCACCAGCGCTGTCATTTGTGAAGGACCTGAAATCGGGGCTGTGTGAATTCTGCTCTTGGTCATCAAAATACCCATGGTGCATTTACCCATGTCTGCAGGAAGGATGATGAATCCCATCCCTGGATATATTATTGAAAGTAAGCCAGTCGTTTTCAGCAGGGATGTCCTGCATTTAGTCGTGTAAAGCTGTCTGAACAGCAGCAGTGGCTGCACTTTATAAATAAGGCAGAATCCAGAAGCCTTTTTCTTCTGCTTATCAAGTTGGTCTGTTTTCTGTTGCAGCAATTTTGGCTGCAGGAGCTCCGGAGGCTGCAGCAGTTATGACCGACGAGGCAATGGAGTCCATCCCGGGCCTCGGGCCTATTCAGTACACACTCAAGCACTATATGATCTACCTGAGCAAGATCCAAAGCTGCGTTGAGAAGCTCAACAAAAGTAAGTTGGCAGAAACCATGCTCTGGGAAGCATTTATCTGGGAGTGAGCAAGGTGTGGTGCAGAGCACCAGCGCTGTCATTTGTGAAGTGTCTGAAATCAGGGCTGTGTGAATTCTGCTCTTGGTCATCAAAATACCCATGGTGCATTTATCCATGTCTGCAGGAAGGATGATGAATCCTATACCTGGATATATTATTAAAAGTGAGGCAGTGTGCACAATGCCTCTTCTGTTGCATTATATTTTTAGTATTTTTAACTCTTTTGCTTCAGTTAATCATAAGAAGGTGCAAGTTAAACCAACGCTTTGAAATAAACCTTGCTTTGCTCTTCAACGTGGAGTTATTTTGAATGCTTGGGATCCAACAGTAAGGGGCCCAGGAGACAATCCTTGTCTGTAACCCTGTCTGCGTAAGAAATCAAACAGGAAAAGCCCGTGTCAACCATTACACTACTCATGAAGGAATACTGGGAACTATAGGCAGGCAGGGAGAGGACAGGGGTCTCTTTCAGGGAACCCTCAGCTGCCTCACAAAACTGTAGAGCGCTATCACACGCACAATTAGCCACACCATAGGCGAGAATGCCGGGCGGATTTAAAGGGCGCTATCAGACACGAACATCCGGGAAGCGTCCCGCACCCGCCAGCAATCCATTTTGCTCCGCCGCAGAAGTGGAGTAAAAAGACACCATAGAAAGTCCGGTAGCAAACGGGTTGCTACGGGCCACGGATGGACTTTCCCCTGTCTGATCGCTCCAGCACGCTCTCATGGCGTCGGGATGGGCTGATCAAGACATCCCAACTCTATGCCATTGTTTTCCCCCCCCTTCTCAGTATGCGCATCATCAAACACTCCATAGGGAGCCTTCGTGCTGAGATGCGATTCATTGATTCCCCGTTTAAGCGCTTCAGGAACAAACAGCCAAAAAAACCCCACCCGAATCACCCACGGTTGTGTCTGATCACGCAGTGACGGGCTGCCTCCGCAGCTTCAAAGGACTGTGTGATCACGCAACTGCAAGTCAAATTCCTCCAGGGGAAATAGCCTCGCTCCCCCCCCCCCCGCACATTATCTCACGTGTGTGACCACCACCGTAGTTTCTAGGCTTGTTCAGAAGAAACCAAGGCTTATCTGAAATGAAGTCAGGCCTTCACAATCTCTTTTCAATGGCCAAGTCTGTGTTTAGCCCTTCATCTTCTGGACCTTAGCCATGCCACCATGGAAGCTGCCTTTCCATCATTTAAGGCCCCGGTCACATGGGCCGGATATCGTGGGGGGAGGCGTGGCTATTTGCCCCAGAGCGAACTACTGCGCGGCAGCCGGATCAAACGTCCCGGACGCCCGACGTCCCGCCGACGTTGTGTGACCGGACCCCTTGTAACGTTAACAGAATCCTGTTACTGAGAGGTGCCAAAGTGCGCATAGCACAAAAATGGGAGCAAATAAACCCTCTCATCAGTTCAAGCTTGGAACAACCAGAAATGGTAGCAGATAAAATTTCATCACACTTAAAGGGAATAGAAATCCCTACCTATACTTCCAGCTTCCAAGAAAAGCGATTTCTTTATTTTGTTATACTCTTTTAGTTTAGTTTACTTAAATTTACATGTAAGGTCATCTTGTATATATAATTTTAAATCAATACAAGCAACACGATCTTGATGCAGCTGAGCTGTATTCTGAAATGCTTGTTTCATAACAGTACTTCATGGTAACGGATAAGCATCTACACATAGTTTTGATTGTGTTCACATCAGTGAGTTGCTAGTAAGTTATAATTGCTTTCTTAACTTATGAATGATTTGACATATTTGTTCAATGTAACATGTGGCGAACCTTTTAAAATGAAATTGTTAAGCTTTTTTTAAAAAAAGAAACAAGCAAGATGCGTGTGCCTGCTTGCACAGGCTGTGTCCACAGAATTGCCCTCCACAACTAGTATTCAGAGGTCGACTGCCCCATACTTTCCATTTCGCCTTAATGGGTAATAGTCACTTAAGGACTCTTCCCTCCATGAATTGGTCTAGTATGCTTTGTGGGCTCCTTAAGCTTGTGGTTGGCACTTAGGGTGTGCACCGAGCCAAAAAAAACCCCTTATCGGTATTTATTGGATATTTTCTCAGCCGATCACTGAGGGGGCTAGTGATTTGGCTATCCAAAAATGGCTGTCCTGAAAAATCCCAAAAATATTTAGGATTTTTCAGGGCCACGGTATAGCCACAGGTACATGAATGAACTTGGGAGAGACAGAGTTTCTCCTACCTCCACCCTGTGCGTACTTTTATCAACCTTTCTAAAAGTAAAAAAGTACTTGCAAAGTATCATAGCTGTGGGATTCAGCTCTGGGCCACGAAACTTGTGGGGCAGTCCCAGGCAAGTGAATGTCTCAGGCAGAGGTCTTTTAAATTACCTACTGCTTGGTCTTTTTACCTGGAGATGTCAGGGATTGAACATGGCACCTTCTGCATGCGAGACGGAGGCTCTTCCACATGAGCCCCGCAGCCCCTCCCCTGCAGTTGTCGTCAGCCACTGTTGTGGCCCCTTAGGCTGCCCTCTTCAGAATGTGCCTCTAATGACAAGCTTCTGACTAGGATCCTGTCTGTACTTGGCCTCATTGTTTTGGACATGTTTTCCAGCAGATGCAGAGAAAACGTGGATGCCCCACCTCGTGGAAAAGTGCCTCTGGGCTTGGGCCGTAGCCAAAAAACTACAGCTGCCATTGTTCGAGACACTTGGTGCAGAGAGGGAGGAAGCCGGGTGCAACGCAGAAGCAGGCGAGGAGCCCTCAAAGAAACGGAAGAGGAAGTGAACAACACTTTGGGTGCCGTGAATGTTGTTTGTTTGTTTTTAATTGCTCAGTTATGCTGAGAAAAACAGCAGCATCCCTAGTTCAAGAGTCATGGCTTTGTAAGCGGCATTTGCATGACTGATGGTTCCAGAACAGCATAGGCCACCTGTGCCACCGAGGATGCTAAGGCTGCAGTGCAGAATGAATGGAGCAGGGCAGGGCAGGAACGCAATGTTCCCTCTAAGCCGCGCAGTCTTGTGAGCAAACATTCTACTTTGTGAGCTACTGGCATTAAAGCTGTGAGCCAGCGATTTGGCTGCTGCATCAATTAGTTTGCTCTGGAGCCCTCCTTCCTGAGCCAAGGCAAAAATGTGTGAGCCGGAGGCTAACAAACTGTGAGCTAGCTCACACTAACTCAGCTTAGAGGGAACACTGGCAGGAAGGTCTGCATCATTCCATGCCGGGGAACAAGGCAGCCGAGACCAGAAATGGTAGAAGGGGCCGAACTGCTACAGAGTGAGTGTAGACTCCAGGGCCCCACTTTGGAATATTCTGTCCCTACTCTAGAAACTTCCTTTGAATCTGCACAGCGGGAATCCACCACTTACCGTCTAAAGTGCCATCTTGCCTACCTCAAGGCTTTGACGCCTCGTTCTCTGGCGTGTCTGAACCAGGGCTAAAAGTTTCAAAGCGATACTTAGTCATTAACAGTTTTGATTAATAATAAAAGTATCACAGTATCTGGAAAACGTGAATAAAACAGTAATTCAACAATATACAAATATTAACGGTAACAGTCAGCATTCCCTAGATCGGCACTATTACAGTGAGCAATTAGGCAGTAACATCATACAGAATATGAACTTAAAATGATTTAAAATATTTAAAATTTGGCTACTTAATAATCCAGGAAGGGAGTGTGTTTCATCGGTTTTTGTGGATTGGCTGTGTAGATTTTTTTCAATGAATTCAAAGACAGGTAACCGGTGTTCCCTCTAAGCTGCGTTAGTGTGAGCCAGCTCACAGTTTTTTAGCCTCCGGCTCACACATTTTTGTCTCAGCTCAGGAAGAAGGATGTGGCTCCAGAGCAGACTAATGTATGCAGTAGCCAAATCACTCACTCACAACTTTAATGCCAGTAGCTCACAAAGTAGCATTTTTGCTCACAAGACTCCACAGCTTAGAAGGGAACATTGCAGGTAACCACCTCTTTTGTGAAGTTACATGCGTCTTTTTAAAGAAGGTACTTATGATTTCTTCCAGAATTATGTGATTAGAAATTGAGCTGCAAGCAAAAGCAATGAAACGAGCTCCAGTTTTATTTTGGGTATTGTTTTGATGTTCAGACAGTTCCAGCATAATTGTAGATTTTTTTAAATCATTTTTATTTATAAGTTTAAACATTAACAAGAAAATAAACATATACAAAATTAAATATGCCTTAGAGTCTAATTTTTTCACTCTTTCTCTAACCATTCATACAGTCCCGACCACCGTTTTTCAAATACACTCTCATCCTTCCCACATAATGTTACATTCAGTTTGTCAATTTCTGCTACTTCCAATAGTTTACATATTAATTCGTCTCTATGAGGTATTGTGTCCGATTTCCAATATTTGGCCCAAAGGATCCTTGCTGCCGTCAAAATATATATCACCACATAAGTAGTATTGTAATCATATTCTTTTGGAACCATATTTAACACATAAATTTCCAGGTTCAGTGGCACCTCCACTCGTAGTATTTCTTTTATTAAATTCTGGACTTTCTTCCAGTAACTTTGAATTTTAACACATCGCCACCACATATGGAAGAAGGAGCCAATGTTATTTCTACATTTCCAGCAATTACTTGAACAGTTTGGAAAACATTGCGCAATTTTTTCCGGGGACCAGTACCACCTGTGCAAAATTTTAAACACATTCTCTTTATATGCAATAGCTCTCATACAATTAGTTCTTTTCCAGATTTTATCCCAATCATCCATTTCAATCCCATGTCCTAAATCTCTCATCCAGGCTAGTATATTAGGTCTAACAAGGTCATCTGCCATATCATCTTCTAATAGAAAATTATATACTTTATGAATCATCTTATCACTTGACGAAAGCCAAATTTTGTCCAGTTCAGTTTTTTCTTCATAGAAACCAGTTAACGGATCTTTGTTATATATAGTTCTTAACTGTGTATTTTCCCACCAGGTTAATTTAATATCATGTTTCTTAAAGAGCGTTTTTTCTGTTTTTAACTTATTAGCTTTATCTAACAAAACGTCATACGGTTCTTTATTAAACTTTGTAACAAGTGTCGGCTTAACAAAAGCTTCCAGCGGAGAAACCCATTTAGGCGTTTTATAATAAAATTTCTCTTTTATTTTGTTCCATACATTACATAATGCCCCTCTTAATATATGATTCCTAAAATTAGAATGGATCTTATCTTTGCCGTACCAGGTATATGCATGCCAACCCATACTTAAATCATGGCCTTCTGCTAAAACTCTATCATCTTTTATTTCAATCCAATCTTTGATCCATCCTAGACTAGCCGCTTGGTAATACAAATTCCAATTAGGCAGACCGCAACCTCCTCTTTCCTTTTTTCTTGCAGAGTTTTTAATTTTATTCTAGATTTTTTTGAATGCCAAATAAACTTCCTTACTATCTTATCCAAGTCCGTGAAAAATTTCAATCTTTTTAATACTGGTACATTCTGTGCCAGAAACAAACATCTGGGCAAAATATTCATTTTTATCGTAGCGATCTTGCCCATAACCGAAAGATGAATATCCTTCCATTTAATTAAGTCCTTCTTTATTTCTTCCAGGAGTCTATTATAGTTATCTTCTATTAAGTTGCTATTTCTATTTGTTATAGTAATACCTAAATATTTAACTTTTTAAATGACTTCCATTGACGTAATCTCTTGTATTTCTTTAATTATAGTTGAAGTGCAATTTTTCATCAACAGCTTAGTCTTTTTAAAATTAATTTTTAGGCCAGCCGCTTGTCCGTATTCATTTATTACTTTTATTAGTTGGCTAATCGAGTTTTTAGGGTTTTCCAGGATAAACAGAAGGTCGTCTGCAAATGATTGTAGTTTATATTCCTGTCCTTTTATTTTAAGTCCTTGTATACCTTGATTCTGTCTCACTTGTTCATTTAATGTTTCTAACGCATAAATAAATAACAGCGGCGATAACGGACAACCTTGCCTTGTTCCTTTCTGAATTTCAATTTTCTGGGACAGCTCTCCATTTACCAAGATCTGAGCAAATTGTTCTTTATCATCCCTCAAAAATTTCTCCCACTATCACAATTGCTCAATTTCTGTATTAGAAATTCCCAAGACAGGTTATCGAATGCTTTTTCCGTGTCCAGAAACATTAAGGCTAGCTGTTTTTCTGGGTGGTTTTCATAATACTCTAGCACATTAATGGTGGTTCTGATATTGTTTTTCATATATCTTTTTGGCAAAAATCCTGTTTGATCTTGATGAATCATTTGGACTAATACTTTTTTCAGTCTATTTGCTAATATATTTGCAAATGTCTTATAATCAACGTTTAACAAAGATATAGGTCTATAGTTTTTAATTCAGTTTTTCTCCATATCTGGTTTTGGTATTAAAGTGATTATTGCTTGGTTCCATGTATCCGGAATTTTGCCTATTTGTCCAATATTTTGCATAACTTCTTTTAATGGGAGTGAAATCTGTTCTTCAAATATTTTATAAAATTCTATTGGAAGTCCATCCTGTCCTGGCGCTTTCTTAGATTTTTGCTTTTTAATTGCCTCCACCAACTCACAGATAGTAATTTTCTCATTCAAAATAGTCTTGGCTATTGTCAAATTTTTTATTGTTTCTCTCTAATAGATACCTCCTGATTGCCTCAGGATTTTCATCTCTTTGTTTATATAATTCAATTGTAGATGTTCTTAACATCCTCTAATATTTTGAATCTGAATCAATATCCTGTAATATTTTGAATCTGAATCAATGCATTCCTCTAGAATTGTGCTGTTTGGGAGCCAGTGCCCCCAACAACCTGAGGAGGAACGAATTCCAGCACAAGGGTTGACAGGTCCAACTTGGGAAATATCCGAGGACTTTGTGGGTGGAGCCAGGAGACTTGTGGGACGTCATGTCCTGTGATGTCACTTCTAGGTCAAAGGCCAAGTGATGTCAGTTCCCAAGCTCCACTCCCAATGATATCACTTCCAGCACACTGCACCAAAACCCCGCCTCTTGATCTTGACAGGCTGGAAAACTGGGCTAAAACAAAAAAAAATAAATTTCAATGGGATAAATTTAAAGTTCTGCATTTAGGTAAGAAAAATCAAATACATAATTATAGGAGACTTGTGTGACGTCATGTCCTGTGATGTCACTTCTAGGTCAAAGGCCAAGTGATGTCAGTTCCCAAGCTCCACTCCCTTCCAATGATATCACTTCCAGCACACTGCACCAAAACCTCGCCCCTTGATCTTGACAGGCTGGAAAACTGGGCTAAAACAAAAAAATAAATAAATTTCAATGGGATAAATTCAAAGTTCTGCATTTAGGTAAGAAAAATCAAATACATAATTATAGGTTGGGGGAGTTGGACTAGATGACCCTGGCGGTCCCTTCTATGATTCTGTGATTCTCTTCCTGTGATGTCACTTTCCAGGCACTTCCCCCAAACCTGCCTCTTAGTTAGGTGGATGGGGAACTGGTTGGAGAACCCACTCAGAGCGCAGTTGTCAGTGACATTTCATCTGACTGGAGGGAGATGTCCAGTGGGGTGCCACAGGGCTCGGTTACCGAAAGTTAAATATGAGCAGCCAGTGTGATACAGTGACCAATAAAGTTAATGCGATCTTAGCGTGTATCAACAGAGGCATAATACCCAAATTGCAAGATGTGATAGTCCTGCTGTACACTGCATTGGTCAGGCCGCACCTGGAGTTCCGGAGGACTCACTTCACAAAGGACGTGGACAGAATGGAGCAGGTGCAGAGGAGAGCGATGAGGATGATTGGGGGCCTGGAGACCAAGCCCTACGAGGAAAGTCTGAGGGACTTGGGAATGTTGAATCTGGAGAAGAGGTTGAGGGGAGACATGATTGCTCTCTTGAAGTATTTGAAGGGCTGTCACATAGTGGAGGGCAGGGAGCTGTTCCTGTTGGCAGCAGAGGAGAGGACTTGCCAGAATGGGTTCCAGTTAAGGGTGGGAAGGTACCGGCTGGA